AAGATTTTTATTTTTTTTTTTTTCTTTAACGCACACGTCATGTAACCGATGTCTTAAAATAGCCGGGTCTGTTCTATTTATGCTGCTGTCCGTCTGCTGCTCCCTCTGCAAGGCAAACGCGGGGCAGCTGTGCTGATCCTGATCCTGCCGGAGCAGGGACATCTAGGCTGGGTTTTTCCATCTCCCCTTGCCCCAAATCTCAGCACCATCTCACAGAAAGCAGAGGGAGCAAATGACTCAGTAGAAGAAGCTTTTTCCCAGGGCTGGCAGGCATCAAACCATCCTCTTGGCAGGCTGCACATGGCCCATGCTCCAGCCCCTGCGCTCAGCCCTCCGTGCTCCCCAGGGAGCCCATGGCCAAAATGGGCATGGGGAAGAGGAGAAACGGCCAGCGCCAGCTGGGGACAGAGACCTGGTGGGACTCGTGTCCCCTGCACGGACACACTCCCCACATGGGCACCCGAAATTGGGGACCGGGACAGCGGCCTCTCCCCCAGGTGCCAACCCGGAGAGCTTGATGACATCTCATGGGTGTCAAGCACAAAGTCCTGTGGTTGCCCCCTCTCCAAGAAGGCAAAAGGTAATGAGAAAACACTGCCACCCTTTTGCCCACCATCCCAGTAAAGATGATTGTTCCACCGAGGAGCTCCTGGTTCTCAGGACCCACCAGGGACGCAGATGCCACAGACATGGGCAGCTCTCCCAAATCACGGCTCAGGTTACTCCTTCCCCCCAGCTCCAGTCCTGGCGTAAAGCCCTGAGGAGCACAGCCATCCAGATTCAGCCAAAAAGTAATTAGCTTAAATGAAAAAGTCATTTTCCCAGCCAGGCTGGCTCCCAAACAACTCCACGGAACGGAGAGGTGGCAGGGGCAGAAGATGGTGATGCCACCAGGACACGGCCATGTCTGTAGGTGCCATCATCACCATCCTGCCCCAGGAACCGGCCCCACCACCACCTCTGCTCCCGCTGTGCCGGCACGGACCCAGGGCCCCTCCCAGGGCCGGGCAAGGGGTTGATCCCCGCAGCCATCGGCATCAGCAGCAGCCATGGGCCCCCGGCCTCCGAGGCTTCACACCCAAGGCACCGCCAGGCTTCAGGAAGCTGGCGGCATTTTAACCCCCCAGCAAATGCTTTAAATTCAGTGGGTGAGTCGAGACGGCACCAAAAGAGCCGGCTCACCGTCATCTGTATTCCAGTCTCTCCTCCTTTTGTTCTCCTCTCCTCACACGCGCTGCCCTGAACGAAGTCCTGCGACTCACTTGGCGTCTGCGGCCAAATATTCTCCTGACGTACGATCCCCGCTGCCGGCTTC